GCGCGGATATACGTCGCCACGCAGTGGTAGAAGAGGAAGCGGGGTAACTTCGTGCCCTCGAAAGTCACCACCGCCGCCGCGGAATCTCCGAGTTTGCGGACCGCGAGGATAGTACCTCGAGGCCAATGCAGTTCTGACTTTATCTTCTCCGGCCTTTCAGCAGGGTTTATGTTGATGACGCCCTTGCATGTATCCCCTGGTGCCTTGGCGTGGCCCCGAACGGGCAGCTGCTGATCCCCCACTTGCAGCTGGAAGTCCCCAAGGAGTCGCTGTGCCATAGGCAATATGGTGGTGCTACAGACCAAGATGTTTTGTTCCCAGATCGGCCACACTTGAATTTGCTTGGTAGTCCGGTCGCCGAGGTAGCTGCGGATGGTGTCGCCCGCGCGATCAGCCGGGACGAATGTGCGTAGCTCGCAGGCAACGCGAGGTTTCACTACTACGATGTAGTCGTCGCGAGAGAGGCGAGGAGTTTGACGCGGGCGCCACTTACGTTGCTTCGCTGGCTGCGAGGACGGAGCAGAGGTAGGCACACCGCCGGAGGGATGGCGCGCCGGCGTTCCTTGCAAGGCTGGGGACTGGTGGCCCGCTGTGGCGTCTCGTTGTTGTTGAGACGCAGACTTCGATTTCGCTTGCTTGCGTTGCCACAGTCTCACCATGTCGTCGAAGTATTAGTCTTCTGATGGCATAGTGTTTACGGAGGATGAAATCTCCATGGACAGCATTTGGCTTGAGGTAGGATCATAGCCCGTAACTACGTTAGCGGCCGCCATCGCCAGGCTGAGAGCCCTTAGCGAGGCGGCGTTGTAGCCGGGAGTGAAGGACGTCCCTCAAGTTGTCAAAACTGGACCCACCTGGACGAAGGTGTTGTCTAGGCGAAGCGGAGAACTTGGCGGTGACGATAAATCCAAGTGTCAGGGGTACCAAGGTGGATGTCCGCAGAAATAGCAGAAAATCTACGGAGGCGATGTGGAGTGCGTCCGTCACCATCGAGCGCTCGCAGCGCCCCCCCCCCCGCTTCCGAGAGGCTCGTAAGGGCTCCTGGCGCAGTGCATTGTGTGTGGGGTGGGGGCATCCGCTCGCCTTTATAAACTCGCAGCCGTGTCCCGGGATGATATATCACGGTCATCTTGCAACCTGGCTGCTTTGTATTAATCGAGATCTCGCGAGAGTGTAATGTTTACGTGCGACCGTTGCTTTTTTTTCCTCTTTTTTTTGCGGACAAGCATCTCTGAATTATATTTGTTACGTACTGTGCTTGCACGCTTCTCTCCTGCAGCCATGCTGTAGGCTCGCCACGTAGCTGGAAATATATTTGTTACGTACTGTGCTTGCACGCTTCTCTCCCGCAGCCATGCTGTAGGCTCGCCACGTAGCTGGAAATATATTTGTTACGTACTGTGCTTGCACGCTTCTCTCCCGCAGCCATGCTGTAGGCTCGCCACGTAGCTGGTCGTACGCGACCAGCCGGGAGATTCGCTCGCAGGATTTCAAGCTGGACGGTTGTGCCCTCGCGATCTCCGACGCCAGCGTAGCTCCCGCCGACTGGTTCGCCCTCCGCGGTCTCCTGACGCCGTGCAGCTCTTGCATTGTGGCGCCCCGCCTTTGGACTGCTTCGACCGGATCCCCACTTTCCTATCTCCTTTTTTCCGTCGCTTGCCTGTCTACTTCTCCGTCTATTTTCCTTCTATTCTTTTTATCCCTCCTTCTCCCCACCCCTATAAGGCACTGCGCCATGTCGCCTGAAGGCAGACAGAAATTAGGTGCCTTTTTCCTCTTCCTTCTAACCACTACCACCTACCACCACGCGACCAGCCATGTGCGCGAGGACATACCGTGGCGCCACCATGCGGACGCATCCCTGTGACGTACGCGGTTGGATTGCTCCGCCAGCCCTGTCGCGCGCAGCACGCAGCCGCTTTCGCCTCTCCTTTTTTACTCTTATTCTAGTCGTACTTCCCTCAAGGGAATCATGAAAATTCTGGCGCAGCTTCTTTACTCACTGCTCGAAATGCTACATAACTGCTCCGGAAAAGTTTCACGCTTCTCATAATGCCTGACTGCCAGCGTCGTCTGCTATGGCCACATATATGAAAAACACGGCGGCCGAGCGCGTGCTGCTTTTGTAAAATGTAACGACTCGTTCTGTGCCGAATCAAAGCATCAAATAGGTATTCACGCGTGCTTGCGGCAAGAAGAGCGATTTTTCCTGAAAGAAGGGCGCGGAACCACGCTTCTCCATTTATTGTATAGGTTTGTATCTAAAGACGGGCCACAGTTGACACGACAAGAATGCGCAAATTAGCGTTTTTGTTAGGCACACATAGCCTCACAAAGCGCAGCGCAAGTGGATTCCCCGCTTTGTGAAGTTCAACACAGCATTCTCACAACCGCAACCTTTCTGTTATCATACCGGGCAAACGAGTCACGCGCACACGTTTGCATCATTCAGAGTTGTAACTAAAGGTGAAATTTCACTTGAGGAAAAGTTTCTCTGCGGCATGATAGTAATATTTGTTGCGAAAATTACGTACGGTTGTCACATGGTGCGCATTCGAACGTTATCGAGTTCACATATGAGCGAAAATTATGAATGATGTCACCTGGAGGGGCACAACGCCTGCACAATGTTTCCTTCCTCCCGAAAGAGGGAGCAGTTGTAGTGCCCCTCCAGGTGGCAGTTGCCAGCTTGCTCTCTGGAATTACAATAGGTATGATGTTGTGAGAGGAATATGGAAAGGGGTCATGGTTCCTGGTCTGACATACGGCAATGCGGTCCTGTGCACGAGATCAGAAGTTCAAGCAAGATTAGAAATTAAGCAACATGGAATAGGTAGGCTTGCCTTAGGAGCTCACAGGAATACACCAAATCAGGGAGTACAAGGTGATATGGGATGGACATCATTTGAGGGCAGGGAAGCTAGCAGCAAGATAAAATTTTAGAAGCGATTGAGAGAAATGGGGGAGGAGCGTTGGGCTAGGAAGGTATTCAGCTACTTGTGCATGAAGAATGTCGATACAAAATGGCGCAAGCGAACCAGAAAATTGACTGGTAAATACTTGGAAAACAGCAGGGGACCAAACCAAAAAGAATTATCGGTTAAGAAGAAGGTGAAGGAAGCTGAGACCGATATGTGGAGAATTGGCATGATCAAGAAGTCCGCACTTGAGATCGATCGAACTTTTAAGCAGGAAATAGCCAAGGAAAGGATCTATGATAATACTCGGGGTGGTTCTCAACTGTTTGAGGCCAGGACGGGAGTATTGCGAACAAAGACATATCGGGCCAAATACGAAGGGGTAGACATGGTATGCAGTGCGTGTGGAGATGAAGAAGAAACTGCCGAACACTTGATAATGTTCTGTAAAGGGCTTCATCCTGTAGTTCAGATTGATGGCGCAGAGTTTTTCAAAGCACTGGGGTTTAGGGACAGTGAGGGCAAAATAGACTTTAAGCGGGTAGAATTAACTAGAAGGAGGTTACTGGTGGCTAAAGTCAAGGCACGAGTGAAAATTGAACCCTTCGCTGCAAAGTACAAATCCTCAACCTCTCTATTTAAGGAAAAAAAAATAAATCTAGTTTTTGGTTCATTAGGTATTACGGCTTGGTGGCGCTAGCCACCGCCCGATTTAAAGGGTGCAGCCATGTCCATCCATCCATCCATCCATCCATCCATCCATCCATCCATCCATCCATCCATCCATCCATCCATCTCCCTCTTTGTCCTTGTGTATCTGTGTATGCAGATAAATAAATAAATTGGCTCAGTTAAACAGTTTCTATGAAGAGGTTCTACGAAGAGGAACAAGGGCAGGCAGTATGGTCGACTGTTATTTTGTGCACTATATGCCATGAGATAGTTTCGCTGAGGAAGGGGCACGGGCTTGGTGTGCCACCCCCTGGCCACACCCGTGGCGATCAGAAACCCAGGCGGCCGAGTACACACACGGGGACCGACAGTCGGGGAGGAGAGTAAGGCGGTGGCGCAGACTGTGCTAGAAGTTACCTTGAAGAGAGAGAAGTATCTTTAGCACACTGAAGCGGCACATGTATGATGTTGATGCAAGAAAGAAGGTTTCGACGCACGCATTGGCCGAACACGCAGAAGCAACTGGCGACGAAATACACCGAAATGTGGTTAAATTAACAAAAATTATGGGAAGGAACGGGACTTCCGGGCTCTAGCTTGACTGATAATTAAGACGCCGGCGCACATTCTTAAATGTAATGACGGCAACTTCCCCCACATGTACGCACGTACGTGGTATTTTAAAATATACATAATCGGACTGTTTTATTGATTGATATGTGGGGTTTAACATCCCCACCCCCCCCCCCAAAAAAAAAAATCGCACTGTTTGCACATTAACTTTTCCTTGTGAACGAGGCTCCCGTGAGGTAACTGAAACGTTCTGCTTTCATGTGAACAATCGTGGTCGGTGCTCATTTTAAACTCATGGGCTTGAATCAACAGCCACAACAACATAAAAAGAGAGAGGTGACAGGGGTACTGCCAGCAGCCGCGACAGTGTCCTCGCGTACGTAGCGCGCTGTGGCGCACCACAGATAACTTTTGCTGCAACTTTCCGCACACATGAAGTGAGGACAAAACAACGCTGTTCAAAAGTGAAAACACCGCGAATTCGCCGTTAAAAACAATGCACCCAACCGCAAGCTTTCCTTCGCCAGAGCGCGGCTTGATCACGTGATCCAACTCAGCACGTCACCGCGATTGCAGCGCTCGCTCCTCCAGTGGTGGGCCTCGCGTCCCATACCTACAGGGCACGTAGAGAAGCGCACATACGCAGTACGTAACATATATTACATGCATGCGCAGTGGCGCGAAACGCAATGCCTTTGCGCACGCTATTTTAAAACTCTCTCGGCCACCAATTAACTTGCTAAGAAAAATATAAATGCTGGCAATCTTGCGTAAATCTTAACGTGTCCCGGTTTAACAGAATCTGCGCATGCACTCTTTTTCACTACAGTGCGCCCCTTTAGTTCATAGCCGGTATTTGCATTTTTTATTGATAAAACAACATTCTCTTTTATTTTCCTACAACAGCATCAATATTTCAGGGAGGAAAATTGCCAAGCTCAGTTGTTCCCCCAGTCAAATCCTCCAGGCCTGTCTTCCGGTAGTGGGTTGTAGTTAGGGTCGGCCGGTGGCGACTCAAACAGGTACTTGCTGCAAAGCACAAAGACTTCAATGACTTCGGCGTCACTTGCGGCGTATTATTGAAGGATTAAACATTCAAGTGCTACAAAAAAAAAATGGGCTTACAGAGTCCATAGAAGAAGCTCCAATAACTTATTTTTGTGGACTCGGAGGCACTTTGTAAGTACGCGTGCCTGCTACACCTAACTTCCACAGGCTTGTTTGCGCTCGTACAGTGCACATTCTCACTTGTACAAAACATATGCTTTCCAACGCATTTTTGCCTTACTCGACGAGCCCTATTCACACCGGAAGAGACCGGACTATGCGCACTTGCTTGCTCGGTAATCCCGCACTCATAGCTCGTCCCGTAACCAAATCATTTCGAAAATGGCGTCCCAAGTGCAGCCGATAGCTATTCCAGAGCTGATTGCACTTTAATAAACTAAAGTATAGGTTTGCGCTTCATACTTCGCGGGCACGAAGTCTAATCCACAACCGCCTATCCTTGCGCGAGGGCATTATTCGACGGGCCGTAACTGCATGTGAAACCACATTATGCACATGTATTTATTGACTGTGAAAGCTCATGTGCAAGTGAATGAGTGGGGAAAGTTTAAAAAATCGAAAATAGGCTTTTCTTTTAACAATCATCATAGGATTTCATTGCATACTGTTTTCTTAAAGTTAACACGATTTCACATTTTTATTGAAAAGTGCTATTAGTATAGGCTATGACAGTTTTATAAATAAGCATGCCCAGAAAAGTAATGCGGAATTTTCACCACTCTGTTGTAAGAACTTTTTGAAATAAAAATCTGAAAAGTAGGTAAAAACATTTTCTGGGACAATTTTTAAATTTGAAATGTTTCATAAAAATTTCTACACTACGAAGAGAAGCAAAAAAATAATTGAATATAAGCGCGAATATGCATCTATTTAGCTACACACATTTGAAGTACACAGCTTTATTATATTTTGAGTAATTCATCGCCAAACTCTGAAAATACAGCGAAGCAGGTAAACGTGGCACTCCACCACTTTGTATTTATTGATTTACTGTGTGCTCCGAGAAAGTTTTTTCTGGTGAAACGAATTGCCAATCTCTTCTTTCTACTCAGTAGACAACAAAATATCAAATTTCGAAATAAATTTAGGAGGTCGACCAGCCTGATTTGTTCAATCTTACGTAGAATCACCCACCACTGTACTCTCAGCGTTCTTAGTAAAGTGCAATAATGCATCATGACCGTGGTATACGCCATTAGTTCCTTCAACGTGTTTTTTTTCTACGCATCCTTCGCATTTCCAATGAAAGTGCAATTTTCTCAACACCTTAAAACACCCTTAGACCCAGACGGCATACTTATGCCAAGCGTTGGAGTCGCTCATAGCATCCATCCACACCAAACATGGCATTTCAACCTCTGGAACCCGCCTGTTTCACCTAAATGTAGCATTACCCACTTATGCTCGTCGAATGAATAATCACGGTCGGTAAAATGGAAGACATGACCTGCGTTGCATTTGACATGCGCCAAAATCATGAATTCCCATTTTTCATCTATATTCATGCATGAACCCTCCCCCGATGTTTCGTCCTTGCCGCCCAAAGACTTCCCGCAGATGCCACACATTTTTGTTACAAGTGAAGGAATAGCAAATCTAATTGACAACCTTAAATTCTCGAGTTCCCCTAGCCCAGACAATATACCCGCTAAAATACTGAAAAGCACAAAAATAATATACAGTCTTATCCTACAATTTATTTTTAACCAATCCCTTGACACTGGTTTTATTCCTAAAACCGTCGCATCTCATGTTGCACTGACCAAATTACACTCCAGAATGACTTGTCTAACATACATAATTGGTGTTTGCGGTGGCTAATGCAGCTTAATACAAAAAAATGTAAATTCATGCAAGTTTCGCGCAAGCGCACTAACTTTTCCTTCCAGTATTCTGTGAACTTCCAAACCTTAACCCAGGTCGACTCCTATCGTTATCTTGGCGTCATAATAACAAGTAAACTAACATGGTCCGAGCACATAGAACAACTAGTCTCCCCTTCAGTAATATCACTTGGCTACATTAAAAGATCGCTTACGTCCTGCCCACCGCAAATCCGAAAATTATCTTACGAAACCTTCACGCGTACTAAACTTGAATAAGCTTCTGCTATCTGGAACCCTCACAAAAATTACCTAATCGACGCATTAGAAGCAATTCAAAATCGCGCTGCCAGATTCATCACCTCACAATACAGTTCTCGCTTAAGTATTACCAGTATCAAACTATCCCTCAACCTCCTTCCTCTAGAAATTCACCGCAAGGTCACTCGGCTCTGCCTCCTGCACAAACTATACCATAACTTCCCGTCGCAACGCAATACCGTTCTTCTACCTTTCGCCCATTCATCGCGTCGCCTTTTTAACTCCCTATGTTTACAGCGCTTACATGGTTCAACTAACGCTTTCAATAAATCATTTTTACCTACTGCCATTGAAGACTGGAATAACCTGCCTGAATCCATAGTGCACAAACAAAACCCCTTAAAATTTAAATAGCTAATCACAAATCACTTGATATATTAGTTAATTTACAATTGTTGCCATTTTCTTCCACGTATATATATATATATTTTTCCTTCTGTTGACATTGTTTTTTATCATGTAGTTCACTTTCGAGTATGCTTTGTACCATTGACAATCATGCATCCATTGCATTGTGTTTTTGCCTCCCCTTTATGTAATACCCCGCAAGGGGCCTTTAAGGGTTCAATAAATGATGAATGATGATGATGATTTCCCTCGGGTTGGCCATAGTGTTCAAAATTTCCATGCCGCGAGTAGGCAACGTAGCCCAACTTCCGCGCTGAACCAGTCATGCTCTTCTGACTGTCACATCCATGTCGGGAAACTGGCTATAACACAAGACCTTGAGGCAGTCACTGAAAAGGCACGCTTGGCGCCACAGCTCTAAACAATCAATCTAGGATTCCTTTTAACATGAGACTAAGAAAGCTAAACTGGACAAAGCATGACACTCACTTCTTTGTGAACAAGTCTTCTCTTGACATAAAATCCGATGTACCAAGCAAGACATGCTGTGCGGTGTTGACAAACATGTTCGGTGCAATTGGGCTTTCTTGGTCTCATGTTAAATGAATATCCAAGACTGAGCGTTCGGAGGTGCGGTGCGAGGCGCGCCTTTTCAGTGATTAGCTCAAGGTTACGTGTTACAGCCAGTTTCACGAATAAGGGCTTTCCCGCCTTGAGGAATTTGCGAGCTATGAAGCAGCTTTGCAGCTTGGATAATTAAAGGAAACTGGAGGTGTGTACTCAAGTAACTATTGACCAGAACAAGGAAAGACAGTGGGAATAAGAAGACTGTTGTTGTTCTTGGGGATGTCAATTGGCCTGCTTATGTTACACAGCTGCTGGAAAAAGATCCCAAGTATGGCCTTGAGCTCCGCATTGCCGCACACCCTTAACAAAAATGGCTGGTAACATTCAGTAGACCAACTAGTAACCATCTATTAACATTGGTCATTGCCTATGAACATTTGTGCTCTAGTAAAAAGGCTCCTTTTTACTATATTCTATATTTTTACTATATTATATATATTCTATATTTTAATATATTCTATTTTATTTACTATATTCTATTCTATAAGGACTATATTATGTAGACCATCTAAAGGCCTCCTTTTTACTATTCTATAACGATTATATTATGTAGACCAACTGAAGGTGTCCTTTTCACAATTATATAAAGACTATATCATGTGGACCGTATACAGGCCTGCTGAGTACCGAAGTGTAAGGACTTTTGTAAATGTGTGCTCTGAAACCTCATTTATAACTACGATTTTAAATTTAACTTAAAAAGATCGTTTGGCATTGGCTAAGTATAAGAAGTCATTAAACATTTCACTTCTGCACACTTCTCTTGCCCCAGAGAAGTATGGTATGCATTTTACATATGCACAAAGCAAATGCACCCAACAAACACACACACCAAGGTTGCAGACTGGATTATAATTTTGCACATACCCATGAGGACGAAAACAGGTGTAACAATATTAATGCATTCATGCAGGCACTTGATCGTATGTGCTGCTGTTTTATATGAAGAAGGCTCCGGCACCGAAGTCTCCACATGAATTGATCTGCTAACACAATTAAGTGCAGTGCTAGCCCCATATGTACAAGTGGAGAAATTGACGGGTTACCAATGTTGCTCTCTTCTTCAGTTTTCCTTTACCCCTATGATCAAGTAAGGCCCTCTATGCCGAGATTTATTTTTTGATGGACACCTTCTTTTATGCAGGAAAGTGAATGCAGTAGGGAGCACTCTTGATGGGCTTTACCCGTCATGCGTCCTATACAGGGCGCCCCAATTATCACGCAGTGCGATTTCAAAAAGAGGAACAGAGTTACGCAAAGCAAACTTAGTGCCCATTGTTCCCAGTATACTCAAGTAGCCGCTACTAATTTCTTTCAATGGCTATCACCTAAATAGTCCGATTATATTTGCAACTGAAAACTAAAAAGTACTCACCAAATTACCAAAATGACAATGAGACAGATGTGCACATATTGAAATGACATTTATCCGTGCTACTTTTACCAATGTAATGCCACAATCTTTCCTCAAGTTTTGTCATTGCCTCGTTGCACGGTCAGTAATTCTCAGCGCAAACCGCACCTGCAGTGTTTGAGAAGCTTTAAGATTGTAGTAGATCATTTTGTTCAAGGGGCGGTGCCATCATATTTTGAGGCCATCCCAAGCCTGTTGTGGGTTTCCTCTGTATGCAAGGACTCTTTGCACAAAAGGTCGAACACAACAAACGTGTAGAACATATTTTAATTAACTACACAAGAGTAGCTGAATGCTCACTCTTAGGATCTAGGCCCATTGCTTGCGCAGCAACACTGACGTTTCAGAATAGGAGAAGCGACGGCAGCTGTCATTACGTCACACCAGATCTGTAGTGACGTGAGCGACCCCTGCCATCTCCGAAACAA